GGGGGGTGTGTGTGTGGTGGTAGGGGACTGGAGGACTAGAGGACAGGAAGACAGGGGGACAGGGTGTGTGTGTGTGGCAGGAGGGGACAGGGGGACAGGGGGACTCTCCAGGTGGTCGCTGGGCTTCACAGAGGCTGCGTCACGCAGGCAGCAGTACCAGATCCCGCCTGCCGCCCACGGATTAGGGACCAGGAGGCACATCCAGATAAAAAACAACTTGACTGTAAGGCAAACAGAAGTTTGCTGCGCCAGTACTTTTGGAGGGCACTGTAGACGATCCACACCTTGTGCAAGTCAGACGAGGGAGGCTGCCTCACTCGTATGTTTTGGAGCTGAACGTGCTCACACCAACGGACGCAGAGGCGCGACCTCACCTGTATCCATCCGCCAGACAGAGCTGACCCGCGTGACGCATCCCATCTCGGGAAAACATCGAACTTATTTCGACAGTTTCCGTAAAGCTCAGTGACACCGATCAGCTTCCAAAGAACGAATTTAATGACCACATCGCCAGGGACACACACAAGCCGGAGAAAAACAAACAGACAGCTGATGTGGGGCTGGGCCCGCGCCAAGTGACCCAATCAGTTACCTACCTGGCGCTGGGTGGGTTAACCGGGTACCCAGCTGTGGGAGGAGCCCTGGGTGGTGCTGGAGCTGGGGTAGCTCTGGCTGGCGTTGAGGATGGGGTCGAAGTTGAAATCTATGCCCTCGCCGTCCATGAGGTCACTGTTGATGATGTAATCCACGTCGCAGTCCAGGTTCTCCGTAAACATGTCGATGTCGAGGTCGGTGGGCAGCTTGTCCTGGCCGGGCAGGAAGCACCCCGAGCTCCCAAAGGGTACCATCCCGGGAAGGCCGGAGGTGGGCTGGGCCCCCCCAGCGAGTAACAGCCCCGCGGAGGGGCTGCCCTGGCCCTGAGCCAGCTGGGCCTTCAGAGCCGAGAGGTGGGCAGAATCCTGACCCAGTCCCGGGACCGGCAGGCCCAGTCCCAGCTGCTGGGGGGGGGTTGGGTTCCCGAGCTGGGACAGGGCGTGCTGCTGTTGCTGCAGCGGCAGGGACAGCGCGGCCCCCAGAGAGCTCTGCTCCGGGCCCTTCTCCAGCGGGTGCTGGCCCGGCGCCTTGCCCCGCCCTCCCAGCGGCCCCCCCAGGACCAGCAGGCCGGCCACCGCCGCCGCCGCCGCCCCCTGGCTGGGCATCAGGGGGTCCACCTGGGTCATCATGACATCGCTGGGGGGCGGCGAGTCGGAGGTCAGCAGGGCCTCCAAGGTGGAGGGCACGTGGCCCCCGAAAGGGCCCGCCCTGCCGGGGCTGCTGCTGGGCTGGGGCTGGAACAGGGAGTTGCTGAAGCCGGAGGGAGTGCTGGGGCTGCCGCCGCCCTGCGCGCCGGCC